CAGTTTTGATGCAATAAACCACAAATTTCTGATCTGAATATTACATGCTTGAACCACTGACGTAATCTGATCACTCATTGAAAGATAACTGTCCAAATACAGCCCAAGACTCTTCACAGTTCCACTAACAACATGTGGCTCTTGATCCTTAACAATCTGTAGAGAGGCTGGAATATTTGTTGAGTCAAATTTAGAGGATATAACGATGACTTCAGTCTTAGAAGAATTCAGTTGAAGGAAATTGTTTGTCATCCATTTCTTGATATCAGACATACAGTGTTCCATATTGTGCTCTAGCTGTGATGGGTCATCAGAATCAAGAGTGAAATACAGCTGGGTGTCATCAGCATACAAATGAATACAGCACCCATGCATACTTGCAATGTTCTCAAGATCTTTGGTGTACAATATGAATAGCAAGGGGCCAAGGATTGAACCTTGTGGCACACCTATCTCAAGAACAGTTGCTGAGGAAGACGAATCCTTGACTTTGACACAAAATGAACGGTTAGCCAAGTAGGACCTGATCCATGTAAGAGCAATGCCTGTAATGCCATAAGCAGATCTTAGCTTCTTGATTAATCTTGGGTGATTGACAGTATCAAAGGCAGCACTCAAATCTAGAAGTAAAAGAACAACTTTAGTTTTCTTGTCAATAGTTATCAAGATGTCGTTATGGATTCTGGTTGTTGCAGTTTCACAGCTATGAAACTTCCTATAGCCGGACTGAACTTTAGAAAGCAAGTTGTTATCCTCAAGATAACTGGTGAGCTGTATAGATACACACTTCTCAATGATTTTTGACAAGAATGAGAGATTGCTAATAGGCCTATAGTTAGATAGAGATTCACCGTCAAGGCCACGTTTCTTCAAACTTGGACGAATGAGAGCCTCCTTAAGTTTTATAGGAAACTCACCTTTAACTAATGATTCATTGACTATAAATGAGATCAGAGGAAGGAGTTCTGGGAGACACTTGATGAGAATCTTTGTAGGTATGGGGTCAAGATCACAGAATTTGTTAGACATATTCTTTATGATGCTTACTAGTTCTTCATCAGACACATGACGGAATTGTACTATCTTTGGGCTATTAGAAAGAGGAACAAATTCATCTGATTTAGGAGAATCTTGCGATTGTTGTTCTAAATAAATGTTGTTGTATATGTTGTCGACCTTTGATTTAAAGAACTGTGCAAAGTTGTTAGCACTCTCAAGATTTGAAGAGCAAGAAGGTGTAGTAGTACTAACTTTTTCTTTATTGAGCAACTTATTAACGATGGAATAAGTCTTTTTAGCATCACCTGCACTATCTTGTAACCTTGTTTTGTAGAAGTGATCTCTTGTGGATACAATGACTGAGGATGCTCTCTCTGATGCTTTCCTGTACAGTCGTTTATAATCTGGGCAATCATGATTCTTTTGATACAGTCTCTCAATCTTTCTTCTCATTGCTTTTGCTTGTTGACAGTGTGTAGACCACCATTCAGCGTTATGATCTTTTCTTGGGATGAAAGTTTTTTCTTTAGCATGCTTGTCCAAAATACTGCTCAACTCAGACTCATAGATATCAACTGCACTATCGAGGTCATTGAAGCAATCAGTGTCACATAGTTTTGACTTAAGAATATCCTCAACAAAAGCATCTAGGTCTATGCAAGCAATGTTTCTGTAAGTAATTGGTTCTAGAGTGCCTATGGGTGCTGGAGATACATATTGCAATTGAAAGCAACAAAGTAGTGGTCAGACGATGTACCAGAATCAGTAATGACAGGATCTAGAACTTCAATGCAATCGTGAGTAAAAGAACCATCCCTGGTAATTACAAGATCTAATATGCCCCCATCTCTGTGTGTTGCAGCTGAAATTTGTTGCACCCACCCACAAGACTTAAGTAGTGAATTAAACCTTTGTGCAACTGAATCATTTTCGTCTTCAATGTGGATATTAAAGTCACCCATGATCAAGGGCTTTCCAGGTTTGTCTACTAAATCAACCAAGAGTTGCTCAAAGTCAGTTAGAAATTGGGGGATGTTAGCACTCTGAGATGTGGAGGTGCCAGAACGGTAAATTGAAACAATTCGTAGTATATCTCCAGAAGATGATTTGAAGGTACCTTCACAAGACTCAAACGTTTTGAATCGCTTGCACTTCTGAGGAGTCACTTTAAGACTTTTCTTATATAGAACAGCAACACCTCCTCCCCGCCCAGCTCTTGGCTGGCTATGAATGGAATATCCAAGTTCTTTCATCTCAGAAAACTTAGCATTGTCATCTTTTCTCAGCCAAGTTTCTGTAGCACAGCAAATATCAGTATCAAAGTCTTCAAGCAATTGCATGACTCCAGCAGTTTTATTGCAGATGGATCTGCAATTGAACAGGGCAAAGTTCATACTCTGACATTCTGACTTAGAGTTTGTAGCTAGTTTTTTGAAGTAAGGATGTTTTGTTTATACCGATTCAATGCCTGTTGCATGATGGGGCACTGCTCTGAGCTGGAATAGTGAGTGTTACAGTGAGATGAGATTCTTGGATCTTTTGACAGACTGCAATTGCGACATCTATGTCTGATAGGGTCTTCCTTGTAATGACAGTCTGATGTTCTATGCCTACCGCTGCAATACATACAAACCAGAGTTTCTTTCTCAGGACAATTTTGGGAAATATGGTGGAGCTTCTGACAATTATAGCACTGCTTGATGATGAATCTATCCTTTACAGGACAAGCACTATTCAGAATGAAGATTTTGCCGTCTCCTGTCAATAGGTTCCTAATCTGAGGAGAGACCTTGATCCCAGCAGTAGTGTACCTTAGTCCAACATTTATGTACACAATTTCAAAGAAATGCTCATTATCTAGCAAGTGTTTAAGTCCAGGATTTTTCAAGGGAATAATATCTAGAAGAGCTTTTTTAGTCTGTAACCGGAAATCTTCAGCGGGCAAACCATGGCGATCAATGGTTTCGAATATCTGACTGGGAATATTAGACACAGTGACCTTAGGGAGAGCTTTCTGTGAGAGAGTGATGTGAAAACCAAGTAATTTAATGACATCAGAGTTTTCAATAAGACTTTTAGCCTTCAGCCTATCAGATGAAGATGGAAAAACTAGCGTTATCTTCTTATGTGAATCTAGTAGGCTAGTTTTCATAGCAATCAATCGTGTGTCATAGAGCAACTCAGATAGAACATCTGGAGCAGATGAAATATCAGCAGAAGGAAAGGGACTATCTAGCACCAATATCTCTTTACTTTCCTTGCTAATTTGATTTATGTTAGCGGACACTTTACTTGGCTGAGGAGAACTAGCACCACCTACAAGAGCTTCAGCAAAATTGCTGTAAGAGGACAGTGCACTTGGAGACCGGGATTGCAAGTTTTCTTTGTTAACATTAGAAACTCGCTCTTCAAGTGAATGTTCAGAGGCTGGAGCACATAGAGCAAGCTTGTCGACAATAATGCTATGCATTTCCTCACGAAATGATTCCAGAAGGGCAGAGTTGTTTGCCCTCATCAGATGCTCAACTTTGGAGAGAATATCAGGAGCTTCATCATGACCATTATCATGACTCATCACAGGGTTGGACTTAGGAGCATCTACCACAGATGGTACAGGTGGACCAGGTGGAGAAAAGTTTTTGGAAGAACGGGTGTCATCTACCAGTGAAATGCAATCTTCACATACGTATTGGCTTGTGCATGGCCCAAAAAGGTTCCAGTTGTCCAGGAAACTGTACGTAGCTGGTCAACTAGTTTTGACTAAGCTTGATGAGTTCTGGGGTTTCTAGAGGCAGTGGTGTAACGTTACTTTGTGCCGCCCCCCTGCTGATTGAAATTTGCCGCCCCTTTTCCGCCCCTAGAATTTTGTGTCCCTAAAAAAAAATTTAAAAAAATTAAAAAAAAGGTTGGGTACTTTTTTTGCCGCCCCCTACAGCTTTTTGCCGCTCCCTGAAGCAAAAATGGTACCCCAAATATTTTTTTCACGTCGACCGAACGCTAAATTCGACAGGGTAGGACACCTATAAGGCGCTTTTTCCGTGAAATCAGACCTACAATCCAGGAAAATGCCGCCCCCCTAAGGTGCCGCCCCCCCTGCTAGCAGGGTTAGCAGGGGCGGTTGTTACGCCACTGTCTAGAGGTAAGATTTGATGGTGCCAGGTTTTTTGGTCAGTTTTCAGTGTTTTTTGTCCCTGTTACCAGGGGGGATTTCGTCAACTTTTAAATATAATATAGATGGTGGTGGATATTTTAAGATAAGCCTTAGACAATTTTGTATTCGATTTTGAAACTCTTGGACCTGGAAAAATCGTCAAAAAACAAGATTCAAGATTTTCAAAATCGAATGAAATGTTTCCTTAGGCCTATCTTAAAATTCTGGTCAAACAGAATCTTCTAAATGGTCCTTAGAATTACTGATCTTGAAAGTTTCAAGGTGATAGCTCAAAAAATGTAGGAGAAGATAGATTTTTAGACTCTTAATTGTATTGCTCGCGCAATACATTTACACACGAGTGCTGACCTTTGACTGGAAATAACTTCGGCTTTGGAACAATATTTTTCCATAGGACCAAAAGCAGCTGATAGATACCACTCCCCTCTATCAGAACTTACTTACTATCAGAAACAACTAAAACCAATTTCGAGAGAAATTTCATAAAGACCCCTCCCCCTTATGGGAAGAGATAACCTGCAGAGTGTGGTATTAGAGCAGTGAAGCTCTGACAGCATCAGCCCCTTCGCAGCTATCCTGTACCTAAGTGGTATCCCTGAGAATATTTGATAAACTGCACTAAGTTATTATTCTAAACTAGGAGACACTTCAATGGCTTGAATACAACCGTTTGGGTATGTTTTATAAAACATATAAATATATAGGTAGTGTTATTCTTTTAGGATTGTATAAAGTTGGCAGTTTTAGAATTTAAAAGAAATTGTTCACGCCCACCAACTTTTAAAGATCTGTATCCTTTTTCACTTACTTAAAATATCGATTATTTTTAGAACATGTACAAGTACGCTTTGTTATGCGCTGCTGTGATGCTAATGTCAGGTAAATAACCTTGAAGCCCTATATTGTGTTATTCCAAAGTATTGAAGTAGATTCTAGTTTGTTTACAAGAAACTCAATTGGCTTGGTTTTTTGTGACATTCTTAACTTGATGGCTTGCGCTAGCCAGCCCTTACAGCCCAACTAGCAGTATAATGCAATAGATAGCGCCAGTTTGAGAAGTATGCGCTGTTCAATAACTACATGGCGCGTTACCTTTCAAAAGTGGGTACGCGTACCGGGAAATAGTTTTGATTTACCCGGAATTTTTTAATGCACATTCCTGAAACTAGCACTAACTATCATGATTGACATTATCAGGTGGCGAAGCTAGCTATTGCTAATTAGCGCTAGAACGCTATTGCTAATATATTGCAAAAGAACCATTGGATTAGCTTATGATACTAAAACAAATTAAATTAGATGTTTGATGGTTAGATCAAAAAAATTAATAATTCAGGTGTTTTTGCTGACGACTCCACATCATTCAGTAAAGACTGTTTCAATATCAGTGGAACTATTTCTTTTAACATTACATACAAGATGGCTGATGACGTGAGTTTTAATTTCATTGATTAACTTTTTTTTAATTATTTACTTCGAAACAATAAATCTATTGTGTACAATATGCAATATTATATTGCAATTTAGAACTGGATAATTTCACAGTGTTATTCAATGTACCCTGCTGAAAAGACTGAGTTCTTCAGAAAATATCTCCTGTATTTTGGTTCGAGCAAATGAGCAACCATATCTTCCAATCTTGTGTAATGTTTCATCGTACAGCAATGGGTTTATTATCAAATTTAGTGGTAGTATCACAATAGAGAATGCTGAATACATAGTATCGGTACCATCTAGAATTTTTAAGTAGTGCAGAAGACATACCACCAAAAAGGGCATCCAAGTAAGAACATCACTTATTATTATCACTGTTACTTTAGTTTGAAGTTGTGAGTTTGAGCTGTTCCTCGAAATGACAGATGTTGATCTGCTTGCCACTATATTTACTGCAACATAGGAGATAATGATTATGATTTTAAATGAGGAAGCATGTAAATGTATTGTGGGTCCTTTTCTGTTATAAAATACTTGAATAAACAAACCCATGAATTCCCATAGAATCCTAACTTTTGTCCACGGACACCTGAGTCACTGACATCTGTTATAAACATTCCTGTTACAAGAGCTTGCACTCGAATCCTGAAACTCAGCAGAGGTTTAATAAATAATGGCGCTTCTCTATATCCTTGGAGACAATGATGTGACTCCCAACATAAACTCTATACAAGCTCAGCATTGTTATGGACAGTAACGACATGTGAATCCCAACAGTACTAACAATACCTAGTGTTTTGCAAGGATTACTAAACAACCAAATTCCAATCTTCTGCTGCAGTAACCTGGACCATAAACTGCATCTGCTGTTCCTAAATCTACTGCATCGCTGCATATACCCAGACAAAAAACTTACAATATCCTGTACAGTAGAGTTGTTACACTACTTGTTACCTCCCTAGTACAACTTACAATATCCTGTACAGTAGAGTTGTTACACTACTTGTTACCGCCCTAGTACAACTTACAATATCCTGTACAGTAGAGTTGTTACACTACTTGTTACCTCCCTAGTACAACTTACAATATCCTGTACAGTAGAGTTGTTACACTACTTGTTACCTCCCTGGTACAACTTACAATATCCTGTACAGTAGAGTTGTTACACTACTTGTTACCTCCCTAGTACATCTTACAATATCCTGTACAGTAGAGTTGTTACACTACTTGTTACCTCCCTAGTACAACTTACAATATCCTGTACAGTAGAGTTGTTACACTACTTGTTACCTCCCTAGTACAACTTACAATATCCTGTACAGTAAAGTTGTTACACTACTTGTTACCTCCCTAGTACATCTTACAATATCCTGTACAGTAGAGTTGTTACACTACTTGTTACCTCCCTAGTACATCTTACAATATCCTGTACAGTAGAGTTGTTACACTACTTGTTACCTCCCTAGTACAACTTACAATATCCTGTACAGTAGAGTTGTTACACTACTTGTTACCTCCCTAGTACATCTTACAATATCCTGTACAGTAGAGTTGTTACACTACTTGTTACCTCCCTAGTACATCTTACAATATCCTGTACAGTAGAGTTGTTACACTACTTGTTACCTCCCTAGTACATCTTACAATATCCTGTACAGTAGAGTTGTTACACTACTTGTTACCTCCCTAGTACATCTTACAGACTACAGTATCCTGTACATCAGACAAAGAGGCACTGTCAGCTGATTTGCTCGCACTATTGTCTTATTATTACCTTATTGCATACATGATTCTCCTGCTGGCAAATGGTTTCCAGTAACACAAATAATACATTAACACGACGTGATCTCGAGTAATAATAGTAGTTGTGGTGGTGGTGGTGGTGGTGGTATTGGTTGAGTGGTAGTAGTAGTGGTAGTAGTAGTAGCAGTAGTAGTAGTAGCAGTAGTAGTAGTAGTAGTAGCAGTAGTCCTTTACCACTTGACAGTACTATTATCCTCCCCAGAAACTGAACTCGTACGAAGTAATGCTGACGAATGCCTCTACCATTTCCAACTTCAACTGTAAACAGACAGAGGGACCTATCATGGCAGTGATTAGCGAGGGAGGAAGTGACCTCACCATTGAGTTCGATATTGTAAGTTTACTTACTTGATAACTAATACTAATATTAAGTAAGTTTACTTACTTGATAACTAATACTAATATTTAGTAAGTTTACTTACTTGATAACTAATACTAATATTTAGTAAGTTTACTTACTTGATAACTAATACTAATATTTGTACTGTAAGTTTACTTACTTGATAACTAATGTACTAATATTTAGTAAGTTTACTTACTTGATAACCAATACTAATATTTGTCCATAAAATCTGAACTGATAAAGAAGTGCATAATCATGATATTTTCACACTAAGTCTCGCTTGAATGACTTAAATGTATATCTTTGTTGGGTATATTTTAATGTCGTAGCGTGTAATAAATGTTACAATTTGATTATTATTATTTATAACATAATGAAGCTTGAGAGGCTGAAACTATGAACTTATATTTCTACCAAGAATGACTTATAATTGTTGTTTCATTAAAAAAAACACTTTTCTTCTAATTGTCCCAATTATCACAAATAAGGTATGTTTGTTATATGTAATTAGCTTGATATGAAAGGAGATTAGAAATATTTGTATAGTTTATTCTCAATATATGTAAAGCAAGTGTTGTATGATAACCATTCTGTTCAGAACAAGAACAAGACTAAAGTGGCAAGTATGGACCCCCAACACTGGGGAGTCAGCAAGATGATCTACGAGTATACACTTAGCCCTGCTGATGTCAAAACAGGTAAAACATTGGGGGGTGTGCCACCACATTGGGGTGGGGGGGGGTGCCACCACATTGCTTTCTCAATTCCAATCATCTCTCAGCGTTTTATACTTTTTTTGTTATTTCTTTTATTACGATTATTACAGTGGGAAGAAGACAAGCTACAGCGATTGGTTCCTACTTCGTAACACCCATCAACCATACTTACTCCTGCAGCAAACAGCAGGTTTTCTGGCATTATTTTCATGTTGGCATTATGTCAAGTTCCAGGCCTGAGTACCCTTTACACGGCTCTGTAGTTTATAAAGTAGCAACTAGTATATAGTAGTATAGTTTATAAATATACTTTAATTTACTCTTTTATGATTTGAATGAAACTTATACTAGAAACAGGGATCAATTTTACGTAAACTTTCGATTTATTTTGCAAGAACATAGATTATTAAAAGCATCTTTGACATAAAAAAGACTTAAACAATTTGACATTAACCGACGGACAAACCGACAAACAAACAGACAAACATTACAGATCTACATACCAGCCGTTTGTGTTCCAACTCGACCTGAAATCTGTAGGAATGAGGGAGTAATGGTGAAGTTTGACAGACTCCTGCTGTCTGCTTATATAACACCTATAACACATGTAGTCACGTGTGAGTATATCTCATTATTTAGTTGTGACTCTTACAAAGTTTGCCAATTTTACAGCGAGACTATAGTACTAGACACACCAACATACATTAAACATAACATACATTAAACACAACATATATTAAACATAACATACTTTAAACATAACATACTTTAAACATAACATAAATTAAACATAACATACATTAAACATAACATAAATGAAACATAACATACATTAATCATAACATACATTAAACATAACATACATTAAACATAACACGATTGCTTTAAATAGTTACCCTATTGATCATATTTTAATTAGAAGCGATGACATTTCTTAGAAACCCCTTTTTTCTTGTAATCGTCACGCTATTCAGGGTTAATAGAGGGAATTTGATTTTTACATACTGGGTTAGGGTTAGGGTTAGGGTTAGGGTTAGGGTTAGGGTTAGGGTTAGGGTTAGGGTTATTGTCGGGGGGGGGGGGTCAATTGTCGGGGGTCAATTGTCGCCCACCCTAAAACATTACCTAGGTTATCTTCTTATTAACTTCCGTCATATCTCATGTCGAATTAATTATAATAATATGTTAGATTAATACCTATTAATTATTAATTATTAAATTAACATAAAAGTTATACCCGGTTATAGTGTCCAATACTGATTAAACTCGGACATTTCGAACTTTAAGTTTCACGAAATATCAAATATACCAGTTATATTTAAAATTATAAGTTTTCTTTCTTCGCACATTATCCTCCGATTATCGTTCAACTAGGGTTCGCTATTTTAATAAAGCTTTATTATAGAGGACTCCTACTACACTACTACAGGCGCTAACATGAAAACCTTAATCCTCAATATTATATTAACTTGCAGAGGAATATTTTGATGTTAAAATATTTCAAAAAATGTCACTGCCAAACTGCTCATAACGTCACGCACGAGATATAGATGAAAATTAGGTATAATATTTAGCACTTTTCTTCAATTAATGCATATTTAAGCACTACGAAACAATTATAGATTCATACTTTAATCCTTAAATCGGAATACCAATCATTGGTTTTTGACTTGCGAGTTCTCACTTTTCACCAACTCGTTAAATGTGCAAACAATGTTTGCAAATATGCTGACTCATTCTCTGTCAACAATCACCTGATACAAATGTAGAGATAAGCTGGTGTTGTATATCAGTAAAGTTGTAAGATGAGTAGGAATACGAGAACACACTCATTGACGTCACTGCTAGCTGGCTCTTGGAAATGAGATAAAATGGAGTGTACATGATAATATAGTTGAAGTTGAAAAACCTCGGTTTGAAAGAACTTAGAAGACTGAGATAACCTAATGATTATAGCTCTAACATTGAGACCTACAAAAATACTGAAGAATACATCTCATAAAAGACTGACTACGGGACTAAATAAAATACTGACTACGGGACTCAATAAAAGACTGACTACGGGACTCAATAAAATACTAACTACGGGACTCAATAAAATACTGACTACGGGACTCAATAAAATACTGACTACGGGACTCAATAAAATACTGACTACGGGACTCAATAAAATACTGACTACGGGACTCAATAAAATACTGACTACGGGACTCAATAAAATACTAACTACAATGCTGATTACAGAATTTATTCTACGAGATCTATTATACAGGTAAAACTGGAGAATGTAACGATACCAGGTGCTAATGATACCTCAGTTGAAGGAGAGTTTATCAACTTTAGTGAGACAGGTCTCACCATCAGAGTAGGCCCTCTTTTACCGGATACTACTGATTACGATTGTAAGTTACAATCAATATGGATGTGATCCTTTTTGTTGAAAAGTTTTAATACTTTAAACACTTTTAATACTTTCAACACTACTATATAACAAATAATTTGAGGGCTTATGTCACTGAAGATGACGCCTTGCAACATGTTTGACGATAGCCTGTAGATTGATAGTTTGATCTCAGTATTTACAACAATTCATCTAGTTTGATTGATTCAAAGGGAAACAAATTCCTCTGTTGTTGAAAAGTTAGCCAATGAAAAATTAATCTGAAATATGCAATAATGATTATGAGTTTTTTCACAAAGCTCTGTAAATAATTACATCCTTTGGTTATGAATGTTACAAAAGAAGTATTTAATGTAACCTTGTTCTTGCTTCAAATATGCGTTCTTAGCGGACATTGTGATTTACTGTAATGATTATTTTATTTAGTTATTACTTTCGCCATTTTTATTACTTCCTTTAATTAAATACACTTAATCTGGTTACTACTACTACTACTATGTCGGAGCTAAGTCCGATCTACGCCAGAAAACCCCCTCCATATATCCCTGTCCCGCATCAGGGTTCGCAGTTCCTCTTTAGAGTTTGTCCCAACTTCCTTCAGTAACATAGACAAGTAGCTTTGTCTTGGTCGGCCTTGCTGTGCTCTACCGTGCGTAGGTTCCCATAAGACTAAATCACTGGCAAGTAGCTCAGGATGTCGGATGCAGTGTCCCGCCATTTTTAATCTCCTGCTTCGTAACTTGTTTGACAGCCTTGGGAGGCTACCATACAAAGTTATATTGCTGACCTTGTCCTTCCATGAGATACCCAGCACCATACGCAACATCTTTGTGTATGTCCCGTCCAAACTTTTCTCTTGAGCCTTTGTCAGTGTCCAGGTTTCTGATCCGTAGAGCAGTACTGATTCACAAGCCGCTATGAACAATCTAATCTTTAGGCTCTTTGAGAGTTTGGATTTCCAGATATCCTTCAGTCTATGTAGGGCACCCCACGCTTTTCCCTTTCTAACCCTTATCTCCCTATCTGTGCTCTCAATCCAGGAGCCTAAGTAGATGAAATCATCTACATTTTCTATGGCTTCCCCGGATCGACTTTGTAGGTCGCTAGATCGATCCTCCATATTCAGTGTCATGACCTTGGTCTTGCCTTCGTTTATGTGTAGTCCCACGCTTGCTGCCGCCGATTCTACTCTAAGCAGGAACTCGTTAGCCTTGTCCATGTCCTCAGATATAAGTGCTATATCATCTGCAAAGTCCACATCGGTGATGATCTTGGGCCCCACTCTTCTGCTTTTTCTACGTTCGAGGGTGAGTCCAAGTCGCTCCGCATCATCGCCTATGGCTTGCCTCATACAGTAGTCGATGACTATTGCAAAGAGGTAAGGTGCTAAGGTATCACCCTGTAACACACCTGCAAGTATCTCGAACAATTCAGTTTCTCCGTCTGGAGTTAGGACTTTGGCCATTGTCTTCTCGTACATGAGCCGTATAAGCTGCACGATTTTGACTGGAATGCCGTAAGCTTCTAGAATCTTTAGCATTTTCCCACGATGTACACTGTCGAAAGCCTTCTTAAAGTCTATAAATGTCAGAACAGCTGGCAGTTTCCGACTCTTGACACCCTCTATAAGACGTCTCAGTACCAATATCTGTTGAGTTGTTGACCTTCCTGGTCTGAATCCATTCTGGTTTCTACGCAGAATTGTCTCGATTTCTGGCTTCAACCGGTTTAGAACCATCTTGTTTAGAGACTTGGCAACTAGGGATGACAAGCTTATTCCCCGATAGTTCATTGGTTCGCTAAGGTCGCCCTTCTTTGGAATTGGTATGATGTTGGCAGTTGACCATTGGTCTGGTTTCTCACCTTTCAATAGAGCATTGTTACAGAAGTCTAAGACAATTTGATCAAGGTCGCATCGTTTTAAGACTTCTGGGGCTATGTTGTCGTCACCCCATGCTTTCCCTTCCTTTATGCTGGACTTTGCTTTCCTGTACTCATCCAACGTAAACGGTTCTGTTCCGATATTCAGAGGTGGGTGGACTGGATCAATATCCTCTTCCGCGTTCTCTACCGTCGGTGGTGAGCCGAGAAGAGTAGCAAAATAGTCCTTCCATTTCTGAACCCTTTCCGTTGGTGAGTTTCCCTTGATTTTGCCAGTATATGATGGAGCTTTACCTGTGATCTTGTTGATCATGGTCCAGCTTTTAGCATGTCTGCCCTGCCAACTTGCTTCCTCCAGTTCCCGGACCTGCCCCTCCAGCAGGTGCTCTTTGGCTGCTTGATAAGCATCGCCTAGCTTCTGTTTGCCCTCTTGAACAGCTATTCGGTTGTCTTCTGTAGCATCTGAGTGGTATTTTATGCTACATTCCCTCATAGTAGTAGTGGTTACATGAGGGCAAAAGCCATTTGGCATAGATAGATATCTTGAATGTTGGCAATTATATTAAGTTTGAATACTTTGCAAGTTTGAGACTAGATTTGATTAGATTCTTCAGTTTATATAATACTTCCGATGACACTCTTAAAAAGCGATTCGTTCAATTTCAGACCACTACTGCAAGGCTGACCAGAAAGTGAAAGATATTGTTCCGATAGCAGTTGGTGTTGCTCTCGCGGCTCTTGTCGTTATTGTTCTTGTTGCTTATCTGATTGGTCGAAGGAGAACTGTTGCTGCTGGAGGTTACGAAAGGGTATAGTTAAACAGATCAACACAGAAAACAATCCAGTCTTCTAGAACGATTCAGAAAGTTCCATTACAATCCAAAGGCTCCCATTACAACTCAGAGATCTAAAACAATTCATGTAATATTGTGGGACAATTTTCAGGCTCTGTTTTGAAGTTTCACGTTAACGTTCATTCAAAATATTGTGTTTCGGAATCATTTGTAAGATTTTTATGTTGAAATAATTTTAAAATCCCTCGACGGTTTAAGCACACGTGTGCATTGCATTATAAAAATGTCTAGCTTTTTGCTAAATTTTGAGTTCAAAATTATAGTAAGACTTTCAATTTGATGTTTTGTTATTCAGTATATTGTATATCAAGTGATCGCAAATGAGACCTTTTCTCATAAATGATGTGTTATTGTCAAGTATGGTATTTGTTTGAGAAATTTTCGTGGAATCATTTTTTATTTTCAGAACATAAAAACATAATTTGATTTGGGATTAAGCCAGAATTCGGCCATTTCATACTATCTTTACACTTCATAGTCGTTTTTATACAAAGCTCTGTAGAAAATACACCAGTGTGAGCTAACGAACCGTTTAAGAATGGCTTAATATTAATTCTTAATTTAGTGCATGCTGAGTTTGTATCAATGCATATTTAGAATTTGAGGGAGACTGAGGATGTCATTGGCGATTAGCAAAATGAGAAGAGGTTAAACCGTTATCGGTTCAGTCGAGATCAGATAATTTTGTTCGAATTGCAAACATTACTATATCTTAAAATCTGCAGCGCCCAGCGGTCGTAAAATTTTGTATTGGCTTGATTCTTTGTTATCTGACTTGAGTTATGATAAACTTTTCTACAATGTAAATTATGGAATATGATCCTAGTTTTATTTTGAGCGTAGTACATAGCATTTCCTGGTCGTAATAGTCTGGCACGAAAACGGAGGGCGCCAAATCAAGCGTCTTTTTTATAAAGAAAGTGGAATGGTTTTCGCGCGAACTTAATAAACTTTTATCATATCGATCGATCCGTGATCTGCTTTTCACGAGTTTTTCCGAATCACGGGATAATATAATCACTATGCCACTATCCGAAATTGCAAGTCTCCTCACAAGATAGCGATATTGATCTTTAACTTTAAGCCCAGAATTACGTCGATGAGTGTATCATTTCTTCACAAAAAACATCAATGGAAAATATATTGTCTCTTCAGAGTTCGAGCTTCTAAATGTACACGTTTAATTGACGCCTCTGAGCAATACAACTTCTGTCAAATTATATGCATTTCTATGTGAACCCATGCCATGATGTGAAATAGTCGATTTGTCTTTAAATTGTATAACTTTGATGCGACGTACGTACATCAGTCACGTTTCTATGGAGACATACACTTTGGCACGTGTCGTATGACCTAAGTCAGATACCTCAAACCTTTTATGTTGTGTCCGTTCACACAGTTACGTAAGATCTAAATCGGTAACTAGGTTGACAGAACTACCATGCCCAGCACAGATGCCTATCGTGAAACTTTGGAGAAAAGAAGACAAAGCTACAATAAGCAGCGCAGTCAGATGCAGAGGTCGGTTGGTTAGCATTCTCAATTCTTGGCTTCATTTAGTTATCACGTGGATCAAAGATTTATAATACTTCCTAACGAATTTCTCATGTTCCAAACTTTAAATCGAAATTCATTACATATACTAGAAATTAATACGTATCGTTTTTTGATTCAAACTCAAAAACACTAAGGCAATTGGCATTTGGCACGAAATGCATTTTAACGGAAACTGTTATCAACTTTTGTTTGCAGGTTCAAGTTTCGACAACCAAACAATACTCCTAGCGTGAATTTCTCTCGGCTCAATCATTACCATCTGTATCTACGTAAAAACCCCGGCATCAAATCCTACTCCCATGGCCATGGTACGTTATCGAGTCCGTCTAATTCATGGCTCTATCTAATGATTAATTATTCATTTTGATTGAATTATATTTGCTTCAAATTAATAGGAAACATTTTTTTTTGTATTTTAAAATTGATCGGAGCAATTCTATCACATGATACTTTTTCGAAATAACCATTGAGCCAGCCATTAGCTTCACAGGTCAGTGACCAGGCAGCCAGTCCAGCAGCATACAGAATCCAAGGTCGGGTTTATAGGCAGTCGATGGTCTATTCAGTTTCGCCAAAATACGACTGCGGATCCGAGTGTTTCATTGATGGACCACGGTGCTTAAATGCTAATTCTCCAGTGTACAACATCTCCCAACCTAACTCTACGACACCGATACATTACAGTGCTTGCGACGTAGTGTACCCTAGCATGACTGGTGTTATTGAAATATCTGGACACATGATAATGCATCCCAGTGAGTAAAAATTGTATTCATCCATCTTTAAATGATAAATGATAGCGTCTGTATCATCTTCTAATCATTAATAGAACTGAGCAAATACAATTTTGCACTTTATAAAATTAATCAAAATGATATCGATGGCATTGAAATGGTACTCCTATAATTAACAGTTAATATTAAGAATCGCATTATTTCTTTGCAGGCACAGATCTAAAAGTATATAAGAGGTTGATTGGCAACCGAGATCTTGCAAAAGAAGCTGACTTTGATAATTCAAAGCTTTCTTACATGTAAGTGCATCAAAAGTTATTTTGAAACGATTTTACTTTATTATGGTTTTTATAATGTACGTCTAGTGTGTACACTAGACTAGATAAAGTATTGAATAAAATTAACACAATTTTCAAATTCGCTGGCCTTAGGAACGATCCTTCGGCTTCTTGTAAAGCTCTTCCTTGAAAGTGCTGGTTTACATTGTAATGCAGGTAATGCCGAAGTAAAATAACAAAGGTGGTCGACTCATTCGATGGCCTTGTTGCGTCGCAACGAATCCTCATAAGATAAGATAAGATAAGAATTTAATGGTGGATTTCAAAAAAAATAACTATTCACAAATCCATTAATTCACTTTTCATCACCAGAGAGAAAACTGCATTAGACTGCAAAAGTACGAACTACAAGTGCTTCAGAGGGCCCAAGTTACAGTGGCAGTGCATGGGCTCCGGTGTTAGACGAGCCTCTCTCCTAATCAGAGACAATTACAGTACCTCCGTTCTTGCAAAACTGGCTGCTGGTGATGGACAAAGGCTTCTTGCAATAGGATCAAGATAATCTTTTGTTGACGGAAATATTTTTCCTCAGCTTCTATTTCTGTATTATCTGTTGTATCCAAAATAATCCACCGATCAGCTACAGAATTGCTTATTGTATGGCTTAATATTTATATTATACATCTTGAGTTATGTGGAATGGCTCGACCACGTGACATGTCGATTGTCAACAGAACAAGATTGGGGGATTTAAATTGAAGGGAATTTCTAATGACAATGGGTTACTAGGTAAAAGTTAGGTAGATTGTAATACTGGGTAAATGACTGGGTGATTGGTGGAGATATCTTGCAATAGGACCGAAATGAGCCTTTGTTGACGGAGATAAATTGTCCGATGTGAAGATAGTGTTCTGCCAATATTTTTCTTGAGCAGCTTCAATTTCTATAGTCTTTTATCGCAAAATAATTTAGCTGTCAGTAGAAGTGCTCCTTCGATGAATTGTGCGAATGCTTGGCCACGTGAATACGCGACATTTCGTCCAAACAAAAGAACGCGATTAGAATTGAAGAGCATTTCTTATTTCAATAGGTTGATAGATTGTAATAGTTGGAAGATCTACACGATCGTTTATCGACACAAAACATTTATGATTTCCCTGGAGCTGGACAGCGATGTCCAGGTGTGCCGCGAACAGTTTGTAAAACGTGCAACACAATGCAAGCGTTAAACCAGTAAGGTATAACCACAGGCCTTGCTTTTGTTTTAAGAACGTACCCTTTGTGTATTTATTATATCTAAATTATCGGAGGGTTAGGTTGAATACAGTGCACAGATCATCAATCAGACTGTGGGCTATCGGCTGATTTGTTTGTGCGACTGCCATTTACTGTTTGCGAAAACACATACGTGCGTCGTGCATGATCTTTGTTTGGCACCGTTGTTTGAACCTTTTCAATTTCTCCAAGTCCAAGGATAATTTGACCCGGATAGAAATTCAACATGAAAAGCTGTGTGGTGATCAGTAATAGCGAGCCGATTAAGGTCATTGAATTAAAAAAAAATGGGTTTCCTGTGGGAGAAAGCCTCCGCTGCACGATTTATTTAAAGTCCTTAACGTAATATCAGAAACGAACTTCCGTCTCATTAATTTACTGCAATTCTGTGTAAATGCCCGAGTATATTTGCTCGAATAAATTCGTATTGTTGAATTGGTTCAAGTCACGCTGTGCTCTGCATGATAGGATTGTAAAGTGAAGTGTATCAGTATAGTATACCCTAATATGTAATAAATCACTAATCAGATCATTCTATTTTGGTTTTGCGGCATATCTTGCCAATGACAGCACAATATCGATTAGTTCGAAATCAGTTTCCTTCGTGGTGATGAAAAATGAAAATCCTAATATTTTGCTATGATATTTAGGAAGCTTCAGAAGAAATGGGAGAAGACATAGAAGATGGAGGAAATATGGCCAAGGCCAAAGAGTTCACCCGAACAGCTTCCGTGAAAGTTGCAAGAACTTCAAAAAAGGTGTCAAAAGCTGGTGTTGGATATACAAAGACCAGCATCAACAGCATCGCCTCAGCCTTGCCGGACTCTGAGATCATGATTGTGGCTATACTGGCGGTGACGATATTCATCAGGGCGGAAGAGGCCCATTTAAAAAGTAAGTTTGATTTTAATTTTATATTCAATTTGCTTTTCGATAACGATTGATTTTACCCACCGTTTAATTTTATTTGTTTAATATGGGACGACCATATTAAATTATATTAAAATGTAGGTTTTCCCCCGATTTTCGGCTGCCCCCCCCCCCCCCCCCCCCTTTCTATTTAAATGGTGCATAATCAGCTAGCTCAAAGATACTGATACAGTTGAATTGTAACCTCGATTTTACAGTTACCGAATGTACCAGGAATAGGATCCCCCGATTTGTCGGCCCGAAGTCTTTGACGAATTTTGGCAGACGTTTAAAAATCGTCAAAAAACGACGTCCAAGATTTTCGGAATCGAATACAATTTAAAAAAAGCATACCTCAAAATTCTAGCTGTATAGATCTCTTCTGTTTCTGATGATCCTATCAATATATCCTGAAAGTTTGATTAAGGTGATTGTTTTAAAACTGTAGCGGAAAAGATGGATTTTTAAACCATTACAGTTACACATAAGACTAAGTGCTGACCTTTGACCGGCGGTAACTTTAAACTTTGGCTAAGAACAATATTTTCCCATGAGACCAGAAAATATATGGTATCAGAAAACAGGCTATATCAGGAAAAAAACTATAAACTCGATCATTTCGAGACAATTTTCATGTCCCCCTGATCTTGCACGAATAGTAATTTTGCTATAAAATGGTATCTTTTACTGCAAGAACCATCCAAATAAACGTCAGTTGCCCTAGAGTTCTGCTACAACGACGGTTCAGTTGGCTGGATCATGTGCGCTATGGGTTGTTGCGTGGTGGCGTTCTCCAAATACTCCGACACACGATCCATTATCCACTCCTTCGCTGCCAGCTTTATCTACCTCCTGATCCAAGTTTCGCTCAATTACCCTCCTCTGGGATGCCTCTTCACCAACGTGGTTGTCGGAGACGGCGAGAAGACCGAATACTCACCCGAAACAAAGAGTTTCGCTGTGGTCCAAGCAGTGATAATGACTATATTCGCCATAGTCTACACCGTCGTGATCTACAGAAAGAGAGTTGTAGAGGATGAGGAAGAAGGAGAGGAGTGAGGGATGGTCGGACTTTTATTGTTTCTGACATTATTACACGATAGGTATACTAATCGGATTAGGTTTACAGGTCTTTTAAGGTTTAGGAATAATCATTGATCTTATAGACAGACTTTAATGACGGTATAGCTATTAAATACAGAGTAGATAACGAAGCTGGCTAACTGAAAAATAGTCAGTAAAGGCTTAATGTGTAATTAAATGTTGACCTCAAAAGTCACATAATCCTTTTGGCGAACATACTTTTAAAAAGAATTTTAAAACGATAGTCTGGCGATTAGCGAGGAATGTTTGTTTATCTCGCTGTGCCATAATTTTCAGCAAATTTGTAAGGTTTATTGATTTAATACCTATTTTGTCTAGGCAAGAAGCTAAAAACCTACCCGCCCACAGTCATGAATCTCCTAATCTGCACATAAATATACATTTAGTCTGACTAACGGCTTTAGTAAGGTAGGTCGCATCAGACCATACTGAAATATTGCGATACTAGCGTCTAGCAACTAGGTACTACGACTTGAACAGGTCTGTCGCTGACTGCGAGATTAATCTTCCAATATCCAGACAAATCGCGATTTCTACACTGCGACAACATTGTTCTCACGTGCGCAAGGTGGACCAACTTTTGATTACAAATCTGGGCCAAAAACTAGCGATAGCATTCGAACACTTCGCCGCCACAGCTCCATTCCGTAGACTTACAATAAACTTTTGTGAGCTTTCAGTAATTGCAAGGCTTGAACGGGGCATAGTCGCTGGGTTGTGTGTACTCACAACCAAAAGGCATAAGATCTTGCAACTTGCATCCCTGTTATTTTCGTTTCACGAATAAGTACAAATATCTATCCATTTATATAAATCGGATTTAAAATAAGAATTGACACCACATACAAGACGTTTAATAACGATCAATAACTTAGTCAAAAATTTGCGAACCAGAAATCAGGCCGTAGCCTAATATTCTATTTGTATAATCTTTGGACTTATTCTCGAAACAATTGTAAGTTAATATCATAGTGTCAAAATACTAGTTTAAACATAAAAAATATCATTCTTAAAACGTAAAATATTAAAACGATTTTGTTTGAGATATTTGATATTTTCTGAATGTTTGACATTTTTACCTTTTTCTTTAACCTACTGTTGTATCGTTTGTCAAAAATGCGGTGGTTAATGACCTCATATTGATTATTCCTAGAATTGCAAATAACAACAAAGGAGCGGTTATAAAGCTTGTATCGGCCACCACAGGGCGTTAGATATTAGAATGAAGTTACTGACATATTGCTCAACGTATGGCTTCTTCGTTAACAAAGTCCAATATCATAATGTAAAGTAATAAAATATACATGTCGCAAACTTTGCCGCCAAAATTAAACACTTCCAACATGGCGCTTCAAACTTTGTACAAATCATTAAATATCCTAATTATGCCTAAATTTAACATTAGCACACTGCAGCACACTGTTAACATTGTTAACACTGTAACATTAGCACACTGCTATGTTATCATATATGTAGTGAAAGTGCAAATTGATTTAATCGCTATCATTAAGAAAGAATATATCATTAACAAGAGCTTATAAGATGAAAAAAGAACGGCAGAAACATCAAAAAGTTTTATAGCAGTTTATGAGTTTGGTGAGCGTGTATTTGAGCTGCATTCCCAAACGAGTCATATAGCAGCACATTACACACGCATGGGGCTCCATACGAAAATTATCTTATTTTACACAAAAGAAACAGCGTAATTAATCCTAGATATATGAATGAGGCAAGTGCGCTGGGCACAGTGCGCCACTGCGCCGGTACGTTGTGCGCCGGGCACAGTGCGCCGGTGCGTTATGCGCCTGCTCCGTTGTTTTCCCCAACTTCTTCAGAGAGTTTCTGACGCCGATAGTTCTCATAGTGTTCTTCATGGGTAGTGTCTTTCAGATCTTGCATGTGCGTCCTGTAAACAAGTGAACGTTGAACACCTGTACAACTCATCACATCCAGTCTCTAAATTCAATCTAGTTGAGCATTTTCGCACTTCTCCAGTCAAGAAAAGATTTCCCAGACTTTGGAGATTGTAACTTACATCTAGGATTACAAATTTGCGATTTCAGTGGATCAATCATGAACTGTGGACAATAAAATTCAGTAATTACCAAAAATAGAATTCCCAAAATATTGCCCTAAGAAATTAAGGAACCTGTGTAATTTTCAAACTGGCAAGCACAAAACATAGTACTATACTTTACAGTGAAGTACTAACTCTGAGGCCCAAATAGGAATTTTGTGTTAGAAAGCTCTAATAACCTTATTCCCATAAATAAAATGTATAATTGGAGCTAATTATGAACTAAATTATTTTACATATATATTAGTCCGTTGTTCAGCGAACTTATCATTGAACTCTGGTTCAGCTGAACACATCTGAACGGTTTCAACACACGACATTATATATTATAAAGGAGTACTACTACTCACCAGTAAAATGCCCTTTGAGGGGTGGTTATAACAATAAGACGTGTAATGTACCTGAGGAGCATGTCACGTAGGAATGAAAACTCGCAGTGGTTCGGGTTCTCGACCTCCACAAAACCCCACTTAGTTTGGCGACCCAGAATACTCTTGTTGTTAATGGTGAGGGCTCTATCACTACCTGTAATGCACACATGTAAGAGTAAGCAACATTTCAGAAGATGATGTCATTTTTACAAATAATAAGAGGGCGTGCTACTAGTTAGCTTAGTCAGCGTGGTGGCATTACACCTGCCTGTTAACAAGTATTACGGACCGGTAATAATGACATCACATTAATTGTAATCACCAGCTCAACAAATATATGAGATTTTATTTTTAGTAATATGTGAAACCTCCCTTATAGCCCACATTCAGTGGGTTCCTCCCACAAATTCAATACCAACTACAGTTGCTACATGTAGAGAATTTCTAATTTGAGATATTTGTAACTAACCGACTACAGCTAAGGGAAGATGTTTTCTGATGGGAGCATTAGCTTGCAACACATCCTCATCCTCAGGCAGGAGGGAGCTGGGGTACACCTTTATCTCAGCTTCAGCTATATCCTCTCTTATTCTCTCCTGTAAGTTAACAAATTAATACTAATAGGTAACATATAATATTATAATATTATTAGCAAGCTATATGTAGATGACGATCAGACCTCACTGTAATAGTTGCAATATAGACCTCACTGTAGTAGTTGTTTGTAGTAGTAGTGTATTATATTTTTCGAGTTGGATACCACATTTCATTATTAGAATAGACGCGTTTCTTTTTGTAAATGCGGTAAAATAATTTGAATAAATTGAAGGAGTCTTGTCAGCTATGATTATTAAAGTGAAACTGTTCCTTTTATTACTGTTGAATAACATGATCCCTCCTTCTGTTAGTATAGTAATAATAAACGATCAGCTAACTATTTAAAACTAATTGAAATATAATGTACTGTAGTTATATTGTAGGGCCGCGTGTTAAGGACACAGCACTACAGCAGGGACCTTAAAAGGGCACATCTATTTTACTGTAGTACTACTACATAGCATGTTATATACATACTGCTAACATGTACTAGCAGTAAGATTCTATTGTATGCACCCTCTATTATGTACTATCTTTATACATAGCAGGGGTATTACTGTGTCATGGTCACTAGATGTATTGATAACACATTAACAAGTTACAACATTATATAAATATCTGATACGTTATAGATATACAGATATACTGTGTGTATTGATATCTGGATATTATCCGGTTGGAAGAGACAAGGACAAGTGAAACAAGGAAGTTAGGAGTAAGGGCAAATTTTCGGCGTCAACGCCATCTTCAGGCTCAAATTATTTGTTATATAGTAGTGTTGAAAGTATTAAAGTATTAAAAATTTTAATACTTTCAACACTACTATATAACAAATAATTTGAGCCTGAAGATGGCGTTGACGCCGAAAATTTGCCCTTACTCCTAACTTCCTTGTTTCACTTGTCCTTGTCTCTTCCAACCGGATAATATCCAGATATCAGTATTTCAATCATGAGACTAATAAACAGCGAACTACTCCGTTATTTGACTGTGTGTATTGGTAACTGTGTGTATATTAGTGACTGTCACGTGTATATTGGTAACTGTGTGTATATTGGTAACTGTGTGTCAAGAGTTTAAATTCCCAAATAGTCAGACTGAGCAGGTTGAGCTGTAGTAAAACACAGTACTGAGGCGTTAAAACATTTTCATTACTATCTTCAGTAACATCCTGAATCAGAAACTCGGTTAATATCAGTTCCTACAAAGTGTAACATTGGAAATGAAATGACACAACTAAAAACGATATGAATATTTTTTTAAAACATAACTCTTGTGCCCCAATGCAATAGAAAACATTTAAGATAAATCCAATAATGGAATCCCAAACGGGTCCATGGCATTGAGCCCCAATGGACGTATAGTTCTAAGTTTCTGAATATAACGGTGTTCATCCACTTCTAGAGTTCTTGGGCTACTATTACTGAGAATTGACACTTTATAAGCCTGGTTAAAATTGTCACGTTGTTTCATGTTATGAACTTCTACAAGGTGTTTACCCAAGCTGAATCCGTCGTCGTTTTCTTCAGGGACAAACGTATTGTCCGAAATGAGTTTGTAGTAATGGGCGCGATGTTCGTTTACTCGTGCCCTGAGGGGCTGCACCGTTCTTCCTACATAACACATGTTACAAAGTTGGCAACTGAAGAGGTATACAACATTGTAGCTGACACATGTACCAGTCACTGCTTTGGCTCGCTGTCCATTGACTGTTATTGATGGATGTGGAGATATGATGTTACAGGTACCGCAGTGTCTGCCCCCACATGGTCTTGTGTGAGGTTGGGTTAAGTCATCCGCAAACTGTTTTGCTTTGACTAACTTCCTTCTAAATGATGTTCCAGTACGTCTGACGAATTTGAAGATAGGGCGTGATGTACCGGCTCTAGATGATATTGGGGAGCCTGGGGTGTTTCCACTTGTATGGGAACCAGATAATCCTGAGAAGCTCCTGGTTCTACTGAGTTCTGGTTCCAATCTTTGCACCGATTCTACTAACTCTTGATCACTGCCAAATGTTGAAATAACGCGGACTGCTGGTTCTGGAGACTTTGGTACCAGGACATTGCTGTTTGAGTTCTCCAGTGGTTTGAGACATCTTTCGAAGCCTTTGACCTTTTCACTGATGTTATCTACCATAGTTTTAGGGTAGTTGGATTGGAAGAAAAAGGTTTTTAATTCATCAATTTGTTTTCGGAGTCTGTCGTTATCATTGATGATTCGCCGGAGTCTCAGACATGCACTATAGACTATGCTGCTGAATGTATCGTTCGGGTGGTGGGAACCGAAGTACAGGTAGGAGCGGGCATCAGTCTCTTTAACATGGAGGTCTGTCTGAAGATCACCTGCGGTGTCGAAACAAAATTTGATGTCTAAGAACGACACATAAACATTGTTATCTTCTATGATGTTCTCATCAATGTGGAGGCCAAGTTCTGCTAGCCTTGAGTTGACAGTCGCGATGAATTTTGAAAACTGTCTTTTCGTACCATGGAATACTCCACAGCCGTCGTCTATGTATCTCTTGACCGATTTTACAGGTTCCATTAGTTCCGTGTCTGTATAGACTTGCTCACGCATGACATGGTATACTGCTATGTTTGCAAGTTGTACACAGATACTGCCTCCTGTCGGTACTCCTCGTTTCTGTCTGTACCACTCTCCGTTAAATTTGCCTATAGACGACTCAAAGCTGAGTTCAACACTTCTTATCAACCACTCCTTGAATTTGGCGGACCATTCTGGTCTCTTTTCTTCCATGGCCACCTTCAAAGCTTGGATTGTAAGGTGGGGGCTCAATGAATCATATAAAGCTTTGTAATCAAATGTGAATGCTTTAATGTTGCTTTTGAGTTCTGTGTCCAGGGTATTGTTGATGTTGTCGAGCCAAACTAAGGCGTCTCTATTATCAATAAGAAGGTCTTCGCAAAAATCCCTTTCTAGTTGACGTAGGTATTTATCAGCTAGGAAGACATCCGGTCGTCTGCTGGCTCCTTCGTGGAGGGCGGTAATGAGTCTAGCTGGTGGTTTTGCCCCTGGTATGAGGTCTTCTTTTTTCAGCTTATGGATTTTAAAAGCAGGGTAGAAATACGGCTGTCCAGGGCGATAGTGTGGGAGGGTACTGGGGCGGTTTGTTGGTCCAGTTTGGTCTGCTCTGGTGTTGTCAGAAACACCCATCACTTCTTTCGCATCCCTTGCTAATATCAGTCCTTCTTCTTTTCCCTGTACCCAGTGCTTGAAGAGTTTCTCATACAGCTGTTGGGTAGGGTCACAGTCCAACTTTTCATATAGTTCCTGATTTTCCAGTTTCTCCAGTGTCCGTTGCTTGATGAGGTCAGGGTCGATAATAACTGTGGTAACTGTGTGTATATTAGTAACTGTGTGTATATTAGTAGCTGTGTGTATATTAGTTGCTGTGTGTATATTAGTAACTGTGTGTATATTAGTAACTGTGTGTATATTAGTAACTGTGTGTATATTAGTAACTGTGTGTATATTAGTAACTGTGTGTATATTAGTAACTGTGTGTATATTAGTAACTGTGTGTATATTAGTAACTGTGTGTATATTAGTAACTGTGTGTAAATTAGTAACTGTGTGTATATTAGTAACTGTGTGTATATTAGTAAATGTGTGTATATTAGTAACTGTGTGTATATTAGTAACTGTGTGTAAATTAGTAACTGTTTGTATATTATTAACTGTGTGTCAGATAATAAATAACATAATATCCAGACCTCGAACATGCTTGCTATTTTAGGGATCCCAAGCAGAGTAGGTACTACATTCTACAGTAAAGCACTAAATAAGATACAGTAGATTGAGATTGTGGTGGGGAATTGTAACTGTGTATAATTGTTCACACATTACTTCAGCACTAAAGAAGGTCGGGAAATTGTGACACTGATTTAATTTACACATTAGCTATGTCAAATTGAGGTCTAGAATCTGGTAAATGCTGATGACGTAACACATGAACTGGTCTGCATTAAATTCTACATTTTTACCGGTTAAATAAGTCGGAATTTATTTGTATGCGGAATGTTGGCACTTAGAACAAAGAAAATTCCATTCTCAGTGCATCAGTTTTTTAACCACGAATAACTGATGAAATTATTCCGTACAAAAAGTTGGGTATCAAAACGTTTGGCTCTAATTGCTGTTTAGGGGGGGGGGGGGCGGGGGGGGGGGCCAATGGGTATTTTTTTGTGAAACTTGATTTCGAGATAGCAACAAACTAGGACCGGTGACTTTTGAGGGGGTCCCGGACACCAACTGCCAAGTTTCTCAGACGTAATGATATAAGCTACATCTAAAAGTAGTACATTTAAAACATTATTAGTTAATTGCACGATATAATACTCTGCAGTATTACTCAGTGTAACCCATCACTCAGTGACCAGTGTAACCCATCACTCGGTGTAACCCATCACTTAGTGTAACCCATCACTTAGTGTAACCCATCACTTAGTGTAACCCATCACTTAGTGTAACCCATCACTTAGTGTAACCCATCACTTAGTGTAACCCATCACTCAGTGTAACCCATCACTCAGTGTAACCATCACTTAGTGTAACCCATCACTCAGTGTAACCCATCACTTAGTGTAACCACTCACTTAGTGTAACCCATCACTTAGTGTAACCCATCACTCAGTGTAACCCATCACTTCCTCCCCACAGAGTGATCAAGTAAGGTCTAAAGACATATTTAGCTGCAATTTAGCTGCTGTTTCCAGGCAATTGTAATCCTGCTCTTAATTAGACGCTAATAATCTTGCTGCAAAGTAGTGCACACTGCATAGTGGGCTCTGTATGCAGCCTCAACCTGTGAAACACACAGCAACACAATCTTATTATATTATAAATATTTGTATATTATAAAGCGAGACGATATATCGTCTCGCTTTATAATAATACTAGTGGTACCCGTGCCTTCGGCCGGGACTTTACTGTCACAGTTGCAATGTAAAAGTATACAACCGCATTATATATTTGATATCACGCATAATGCTGTCTTATGAAAGTATGAAATCTCCCTACAGTTGAAACAAAGCGGCCGCAAGAGTGAGCTCTAAGCTTATAGTATTACGTGGGGCTAAACTAATTACGGTACATGTTATCCTCCGCGTTCTCTCTCCCATCCATTTATGTCACATTTCTGGAACAAAATCATCAATTAAACCACTTACCAACGGCCGATTTTTATAAAATTTGCTTATGGGCTTCGTCAGAGTTTTGTCAGCACTATACCGAAAAAACCAGTCCCGTAACTATTACCGTTTTTTTTTGTATAACCGTTCGGAAATTACACACAGACAGACAGACACACAGACACACACACATTCTGGTGTTATTAAGTTGACTAGAAAGCCCGTGGTCACAGGGAGGGAGGTTGCAGTTTTATTGCATCAAAAATATCCATCACAACCGAAGACACAGCCGATTAAAATTTATCACGCACTGAATGAGTGAACACAACGTAATTACCACAAAATGACGTTAAAACAATCATTGCACGTGCATGTGCGCGTTTCAACACCATTACCATGGTTACTTTGCAACTTATAATGTTTACCTTATTTGCACGTGGGCGGTCGTGCAAACAGACATAATTCTTTGAATTATAATTTATAGAAGTAAGATCTATATAGATTGTAGGAATACACAACTTTAACCGTGAGATATATAGTTGAAACTTTTTTAGCTGGGTCAAATGCCGTTTTATCAGTATGAAGAAATAAAAATTGGCCAAAGAGTAAGAACTTTAACTTGTATAATTTTGTAATCGTGTTACTGCTAAACAAATATTCACCATTTTCCACTTTGGTTTAATAAACGTTTAAAATAAGCTATCAATAATTTAAATAATTTCAATGATATAGGCCCTGTGTATATTACACATGTGAGTATAGCTGAGTGTGCAGGTATCACCAGTATTACACATGTGAGTTTATCTCCTACACACTAAAGCGCGCACTGTGAGCAGTGTGTGCAGATATAGTCCTGTGTATCTAGTGTGTGTCATGTCACTCAACACCCTGCTCCGATATTCACAACCCACCAATAGTATTTTCAGATCCCTGTCACGTGACGCTAACTTACTAACGACGTTCTAGTACTAACACCACGTGACCTAATATGGGCACCACGTGACCTAATGACACGTATTGTTAAGTGGACAGGTTTTGACAAGTCAGAGAGCTATAAAAGTTCCAGTAAGCTACAAAGTGCTAAATACAGCCATACTTATGCAGGCTGTAAGCTAGCACTTAATGTTCAGCGCCATGTTGCTTACATAGCCAAATAAGGATATGTTTGGTACATATTACTCATGTGGAGTAAGTATTCAGTATTTCTGAACAGTGTTGATGACAGCAAATCAAGACCCGACTTGGAGTTATTACATATCATGAAAAACCAGGAAATTTAAAATTCGCACAAATTTTTAAGCATTGCATTGCTACGTGGTAGGTTATAATTAATTAATTTACACTTATTTAAGAAACCATTATGTATAATTAAGAGTATATCCATGCTTTACCTTGAAGGCGTCTCTCTCCTCAATAGTCATTGTGTCAGCCTTAGCAATAACAGGGATTATATTCACTACGTCATGTAGCTTCTTCATACAGCTGAAATAATGTTGTTCCCATTCGTTAATAACATTTATGTGACATAATATATTTGTTTAAAGGGTAAATATTAGTCCCCCCCGCTCGGATGCCAAACAAGATGTTTTAGTAAATTAAGGGGGCAGGGGGGGGGGGCCGGGGTCTTTATGAAATTTCTCTCAAAATTGATTTTATAGTTGTTTCTAATAGAGGGGAGTTTTTATTCGATTTTGAAAATCTTGGACCTGAAAAAATCGTCAAAAAACGAGGTCCAAGATTTTCAAAATCGAATAAAAAATTTTTTAAAGGCCTATCTCGAAATTCTAAAAAGAGTAAAAGTTTCTAAATGGTCCTTAGAACATATCCTGAAAGTTTCAAGGTGATTGCTCAAAAAATGTAGGAGGAGATAGATTTTTAGACTCGATTTTCAGGGCGCGCGATTGAAAATCGCTCGCGCAATACAATTACACATGAGCGCTGACCTTTGACCGGCAATAATTTCGGCTAGGAACAAAATTTTTCCATGGGACCAAAAATATCTGGTAGATATCACTCCCCTCTATCAGAAACAACTATAAAATCAATTTCGAGAGAAATTTCATAAAGACTTCCCCCTGCCCCCTTAAGGTATGTGCGTGGTGTTATCACGTGTCAGGAGTAAGAGCCTTCTAAATACCTGATATCTAGAGCCTTGAGCCCGTGACCAGTAGGAGCTATGAAGTAAAGACAGCAGTGAATCCTGCTGTCAGGAATCTGTTTCCTCCTCACCACGCTCCTCTCTTCCGTCAGGAACTTATCAAACTGCTTGTTTATCTGGTCGTATATTGGCAACCAGCTGAAATAAAGTCACATTAGTGACTACTGTCACATTAGTAAAGTCACATTAGTGACTACTGTCACATTAGTAAAGTCACATTAGTGACTACTGTCTCATTAGTGATTACTGACTTTAGTCACATTAGTAAAGTAACATTAGTGACTACTGTCACATTAGTAAAGTCATATTAGTGACTACTGTCACATTAGTAAAGTCACATTAGTGACTACTGACTTTAGTCACATTAGTAAAGTCACATTAGTGACTTTAGTCACATTAGTGACTACTGACTTTAGTCACATTAGTAAAGTCACATTAGTGACTATGAAGTTCATTAAAAACAATGTGGAAATGCCCTTAGAGAACCTAATAACGAGATTAATTAATAACAAAATAACAAAATAACAGAATAACAAAATAACAAAATAACAAAATAACAAAATAAAAAAATAACAAAATAACAAAATTAAAAAAAAAACAAAATAACAAAATAACAAAATAACAAAATAACTTAATAACTAAATAACTTACCAATTCTCGTTGTTGACTTGGTCTCCGAATCCAGGAGTATCAGTGATTGATAACCGTAATCTAACGTTCTTCTCTTCTATCACTGGAGACGAGCAGTTTGTTAAGAGAGGAAATGTGTAAAGTGTTACATCAGTGTCAATATTATGTATACCGCAGATTAGATAGGAACGTTAACATTTGGTTAATTATTACTGTTAATCCTCCAGCTTGTAAAAATCTTGCCAAAAAATGGATTAATTTTTACCATAAGTAACAGTGTTAATCTCCACTTACCATGAGTAACAGTGTTAATCTTCACTTACCATGAGTAACAGTGTTAATCTCCACTTACCATGAGTAACAGTGTTAATCTCCACCTACCATGAGTAACAGTGTTAATCTCCACTTACCATGGGTAACAGTGTTAATCTCCACTTACCATGAGTAACAGTGTTAATCTCCACCTACCATGAGTAACAGTGTTAATCTCCACCTACCATGAGTAACAGTGTTAATCTCCACTTACCATGGGTAACAGTGTTAATCTCGACAGTTTTGGGTATCTTCTGGGGAGGCTCGTTAGTACAACTAGTCCTGCTCACTTTGGACTTGAAGAGAGTGTTCACTAGCGTGCTCTTGCCCAGGCCAGACTCACCTAAGATAATGTTGAGTGTTATTTCACTACCAAAATATTCAGCAGCGTACATTATCAGGACGTGGAATGAACATTATTTCTAGTGATTTTACAAAATACTTCTCCTTTTTTTAAACATCAATCAGTCAATTTTACTGACAAACTAGGACTTAATTACATAGTACTTCTTTGATAATTAATTTCCAATCAATTTATAACATTATACGTAGTAAGTTCTAGCTATAATTACCCTGGTCCACAGCAAAAGGGGAACACGTGTAGATCCCATTAATTAACACGTGTATTAATTTCGTACGTGATATTATGATATTAATTCAAGCTGCTAACAGCGTTCTACATGAAGTGATATTATTTCCTACATTTAGTCAATCGAAAATATTAAAAAGGGATAAGAATAACCATCATTAACACTCTACCACTATTAACCATCTTTAACACTCCACCATTAGGTCAGATCACAGACAAACTGACTATATAATTACTTAAATGGTCATTTAGAAATATTAGGTGTGATAATGATGCTCTGGTACATTCCACACAGCACAGGTTTGAGAAATCAGGACATTTAATTTTGCAAGGTTCCATAAAACATTTTGAGGAGCTGAGGTCGCTTATCTAGTCCACTCCTTATATGGGCATCACGGGGAGCTGAGGTTGCTTATCTAGTCCACTCCTTATATGGGCATCACGGGGAGCTGAGGTTGCTTATCTAGTCCACTCCTTATATGGGCATCACGGGGAGCTGAGGTTGCTGATCTAGTCCACTCCTTATATGGGCATCACGGGGAGCTGAGGTTGCTGATCTAGTCCACTCCTTATATGGGCATCACGGGGCGGTATGTACTGACTTCAGAAGCTCATAATGATCAGGGTAGCATGAAAAGTGTATTTACATGTAATGAACAAGAGTAGTTTCCAGAAAAATTTTCGGTCCGAGTAATTCTCGATACGAACCTCTGATGACAGAGCTAAAACTTGACCACTAGACATAAATTTGACCACTTATAAAGATGAGGAGCTGACTTAAGAAACCAAAATTTACCTTCCTAACATTAAATCGTTGATTTTATATCATTTTCCTTTTTTCCAAAACATTCCAGTACATTGTGCAGAAAGTTGGAGATTACAAATTTTGGAAGCATGTAGGGATTTACACCTGATAACGACCGTATATACTAAAAATACTCTCGCACAATTGTAACTGCAGTTTTACAGAACTCTAAATGCTTAATGAACACTCTTGCAGGTACCACCCGTATTCACACTCAGACCTGAGTTTAGTCATTTTTCGATACGAGATTGGGGACGGGTTCTATAAACAAACAAACAAACATATGGGCATCACGGGGAGCTGAGGTTGCTGATCTAGTACACTCCTTATATGGTCATCACGGGGAGCTGAGGTTGCTTATCTAGTCCACTCCTTATATGGGCATCACGAGGAGCTGAGGTTGCTTATCTAGTCCACTCCTTATATGGGCATCACGGGGAGCTGAGGTTGCTTATCTAGTCCACTCCTTATATGGGCATCACGGGGCGGTTCTAATCTTAAGATATTAATTCAGAAGGTGCAGGTTAAACGTGTAAAGGACCACTCATTAGTCATAAGGGGGTATGGGGGGGGGGGGGTCCAACTACAAAAAATACGAATACGAATTTCAAATTTTAGGGGTGCGTTCGTATTTTTTCGTATTTTTTCGTATTTTTTACCAACATTTTTTTACTCTAGAAATAACGAAATATCCCAGAGAAATGAATCTATAAATCCATTCGTATAGTATTCTCCGTTGTATCTTTGTATATTACACTGTATGACATCAGAGAAAATAAATAAGACGCAGCAAAACTGGTGAACAAATGAAAATACAATACTACGATTACCTACTAATTAATAATTGGAGTTTAACTGCTTGTCAATCTCACGTAAGCGTAAACGTTAAAATCACTGGGATATTATCATAATTCAGATATTATTCGATGTATTAATTGTGATTTATAAAGGTCTTTGAATGCTACATCACAGAATATTATTGCCAAATACGCATTACGCATACTTTTAAAGTCTGGTAAGTTGGGTTCTTAAAACTTCTTAAAACGAAATTTAATCAGCTTCGGCTGAACCCATTATATATCGGATACGTGATCCGAGCACTCAGTCAGTGATCTCTGCACTCAATCAGTGATCTCGTCACCCAATCTGATCAAGAGTAAGGCGTTAGCGTGTATTAATGAGGTTCATTAGGCTTTACCAAACATACTGAGGAGATGACGACCTGATCATGATTGATTGGATACCGATAATGACTTTGCTAGACAGGAAAACACCAAAGCCTTCGTAAAAGTAAAGTCCTAGGATTCCACGAGAACTGATGGCGCAGCAGATCGTGACCTTTTCAGGAAAATCAGAAATCACGGTCTAAAAGTTGGTGTTTCTTTGTGATCCGATAGGCCCGGTAAGAAAGATCTCGCTTTAGGATTCGTTGAAGGGATGTTCTGCTGAGGTCTAAGGCAGGAGCTCGTTTTCGGGTGCCAATTTTAGATGTATCCATCACGTCACAAACAACCATGGTGATGTTTTCTTCGGTCCTCGCAGTTCGTCTTTTGTGATGCATATCAAAGCAGCTTTTCCGGCAAGGGGATGGTCGGTTGAATTTCATTTGAAATTGTCGTTTAAGCTGAGGGCAGAACTCCCCATTCTCTTTGTTCAGGTAGACAAACAATCGTTGTTCCGCAGTATAGGGAGGATAGTGAACCATTTTCGATGATTCAATGGATAGTTCATTCCTTTTTATCGATTGTAAGGAACGAACCTGTGACTAGCAGGGCTAACAAGCCCTGCAACCAATCAAGCTGTGCATGTGAGCCAAACAGGCCATTAACCAAGTGCAGAGATCACTGACTGAGTGCTCGGATCACGTATCCGATGAATTTTGAAATGGTCATAACTCAGCCAAATTTTAAACAATGAACTTGAAACTTTGGGATAGGTTTTAAATTATCAAGCCAAATGTGTGCAAAAAATTTGGAGTTCTTAGCTTAAAGCGTTCTCATTTTATGAAGACAATAGTGAAAAAGAGGGAGTGTCACGCCACGCCCACTGTAATTGGGCGTGGCTTACAAAACTTTCAGGAAATCTAAGTTTGACCCATATCTATAATCTCTGAAATTTTAGTGCAATTTGAAGACGAATTACGTGAGTTATTAAAAGGTTGCGTGTGGGTAGTCACTTTTGGGCCACCCTGTATTATAATATGTATATAGACTATATATGGCACATTCATATTAATAGTCTATCAGATCTTTCTTTAGATAAACTTATTACACAAAGTAGTCATGGTTATAGTAACAGCTTAAATTCCTTAGGATTAAAAATAGAGAAAAACTTCAAATTCTCTTAGTGATCTTCAAAACTTCTTTTGATAGGTAAATCTTACCATCTACATCAGACTTCACCCAAACATGATAGTTCTGATGGGTAGAACAAAAGGAGTTAGTGGGTACATGGCAGACAGACGACCTGTCACCCTTGCTGAATATATGCGATGTTGACATGAAAAGAGCCTGCCCGCGGAACTTGACAGCTTGCTTGAATTTTTTCTTGTCGAACCAGCCCTTGTCACCAACAAATACACGTTTACAGTCTTTTCCAAGCGATTCACAAGGCCGAGAAAATGACACCCTGTCGAAACTGTAGTCTTTGATTCTCCTTTGGCGTGTATGACCTGCCATTGATGACCGACCGTGGTTCATGAACTTCTCAGCAGCAGTATCAACATGGTACCAACGGCCGTCGGTTGTGAGAACTCCAGTTGACTGGTAATAAATCTCCATTTCATCATCATCATCATTGGGAGCCTCAAGCTCAGCCTCTTCCCTGTCATCATCATAAACTAGAGTGTAACAGTCAGGTTCAGTAGGTATATCGAGTTCGCACCCGGACAGCTTTGTGTGAGCACGAATCATATCCTTCCCCATGTCGATGCCTTCCCTGAGTGCTTTCCTAAGTTTCTTGAGGCTGGTGGCTCTGCCCTTGTACACCCGTGTTTGGTTGGGATTGGGAATCAGTGTCTTCCCCCGAGTGTGTGCAACGTCATGCGCTGCCTTTCGCATCAAGCTCAAGGCACCGATTTTTCCTTGCTGCCCCGTGCATAACCGAAGCACTCGATAGGTTCGTCTGGCGTCCTTTGTGGAGGAGGAGGACTGATGAGGAGGAGAAGGAGGAGGACAATGAGGACTGAGGAGGATGAGGAGGAGGATGAGGAAGAGGAGGACTGAGGAGGAGGATGACTGAAGAGGAAGAGGACTGGTGAGGAGGAGGAGGAGGAGGAGGAGGAGGAGGAGGAGGAGGAAGAGGACGGCTGAGGAGGACTGTGGAGGACTGAGGAGGAGGAGGACTGGTGAGGAGGAGGAGGAGGAGGATGAGGAGGACTGAGGAGGAGGAGGAGGAGGACTGAGGAGGACTGAGGAGAAGGACTGAGGACGAGGAGGAGAAGGAGGAGGAGGACTGAGGAGGAGGAGGACTGGTGAGGAGGAAGAGGAGGAGGAGGATGAGGACTGAGGAGGACTGAAGAAGACTGAGGAAGACTGAGGAGGAATGAGGAGGACTGAGGAGGACTGAGGACGAGAAGGAGGACTAAGGACTGAGGAGGACTGAGGAGGAGGACGAGAGCGACGAGGAGGAGGAGGACGACTATGAGGAGGACTGAGGAGGAGGACTGATAAGAAGGAGAAGGAGGATGAGGACTGAGGAGGAGGAGGAGGAGGAGGAGGAAGACTGGGTTGAGGACTGATAGGGGGAGAACTGGGGGAGGACTGAGGAAGAGGAGGACTGAGGATGAGGAGGAGGAGGAATAGGACTGAGGAGGAGGAGGAGGACTTAGGAGTAGGAGGAGGAGAAGGACTGAGGAGTAGGAGGAGGAGGAGGACCGAAGAGGAGGAGGAGGAGGAGACTGAGGAGGATGACTGAGGAGTAGGAGGAGGAGGAGGACTGACAAGTAGGAGGAGGATTGAGGAGGAGGAGGACTCCAGAAGAGGAGGACTGAGGAGGAGGACAAGGAGGACGAGGACAAAGGACGAGGACGAGGAGGACGAGGACAACTATGAGGAGGATGACTGAGGATGACTGATGAGGAGGAGTAGGAAGAGGAGAAGGATGAGGACAATGAGGCCGACGAGGACTGAGGAGAAGAAGGAGGACTGGGGAGGACTGAAGAGGAGGAGGAGGACTGAGGAGGCCGAGGATGAAGAGGACTGAGGAGGAGAAGGAGGAGGAGAAGGACTCAGGAGGACTATGAGGAGGACTGAGGACGAGGACTGAGGAGGAGGAGGAGGACTGATGAGGAGGAGAAGGAAGAGGAGAAGGAGGAGGACAATGAAGACGAGGACTGAGGAGGAGAAGGAGGAGGACTGGGGGAGGACTGAGGAGGAGGATTAAGAGGACTGAGGAGGAGAATGAGGAGGAGGAGGACTCAGCGGGGGGGGGGGGGGATCGGGTACTGAGGAGGAGGATGAAGAGGACTGAGGAGGAGAAGGAGGAGGAGGAGGACTGAGGAGGACTATGAGGAGGACTGAGGACGAGGACTGGTGAGGAGGATGAGGACTGAGGAGAAGGACTGGGGGAGGACTGAGGAGGAGGATTGGGGGAGGACTGAGGAGGAGGATTAAGAGGATTAAGAGGACTGAGGAGGAGAAGGAGGAGGAGGAGGACTCAGCGGGGGGGGGGGATCGGGTACTGAGGAGGAGGATGAAGAGGACTGAGGAGGAGAAGGAGGAGGAGGAGGACTGAGGAGGACTATGAGGAGGACTGAGGACGAGGACTGGTGAGGAGGATGAGGACTGAGGAGAAGGACTGAGGGGGAGGAGGAGGAGGAGGAGGACTTCAGAGGAGGAGGAGGAGGACTCAGGAGGAGGACTGATGAGAAGGAGGAGTAAGAGGACTGGGGGGAGGACTCAGGAAGAGGAGGAGGAGGACTCAGGAGGAGGATGAGGAGGACTCAGGAGGAGAAGGAGGAGGAGGAGGAGGAGGAAGAGGAGGAGGAGAACTGGGGGGAGGAGGAGGAGGAGAACTGAGGAGGAGGAGGAGGAGGAGGAGGAGGAGGAGGAGGAGGAGGAGGAGGAGGAGGAGGAGGAGGAGGAGGAGGAGGAGGAGGAGGAGGAGGAGAGAAGCATCTAAATGTTATTTCCATAATATTTTTTGTCTGTTTTTGTCCGCCCTACTTTTTGTCCGTTTTGAAAATATAGGGTACCGAACGGACAAAAACGGACACAAAACATGATCCCCCAGCCAAGCATGTGTCACGATACAAATGAACTTGACTATACATTTAAGGTGCAGTCACGTATTAGTGATATTATGGTATGTTTAAAGACCGGACCACAAAATATAACCCGGTACCTAGTGTTGTACTAATACATAATAACAAGTAGCAGGGATAAAATCAATGAGCAGAAACAATCGATCTCACAAGAGGCCAAAGCACTCGGGTCTAGGAGTACATGACAACTCCAACCCTCTTATTAAAGATCTATAACAAGTTTATAGCTGTTCAATGATTATACATTATTCAGTTAAATGGACCAATTTCCAAATAAACATAAAATGGATCACAATATATTCCAAATTTTAATAAAAAAACGATAAAAAGGAAGCGAATTTCAAAATTTTGTGTGGGTTCATCGTTTTTGTTGTTGCACCCCCCCCCCCCCCCCCCCCCCCCCCCCCCCCCCCCCCCCCCCAGGTTTTATGTATGATACATGATGGTTTACATATTATTTTAATGTTTCTTCACTGCTTAGTTGAGCTTAGATCTGATTAATTACGAAGATGTGTGATCTTCTATTTATCAAAATGACGATTTGTAAAAAATACGAAAAAATACGAAAAAATACGAATACGAATTTGAAATTTTAGGGGTGCGTTCGTATTTTTTGTAGTTGGACCCCCCCGGGGTATCCCCACTCATTAGGGGGTATCCGTACTCAATCAATATTGCATAATAAATAATCAAGCATATTATATTAATTAATTGAAGTACAGAACAATTCCTTACGTTAATATCTACCCAATTACTGGCCAAACCCCACTGCTTCGACAGTAACTAATCAGAGCACTGATCACGTGGAGTTACCACGTGACACGTGGTGTTACCACGTGACTTGTGGAGTTACCACGTGACATGTGGAGTTACCACGTGACATGTGGAGTTACCACATGACATGTAAGCAGACTGGAGAGAGAAGCGAGTTAAAACGATTTCCGTGTACAGTAATGATGTGCATTAATGAGATACTTGAAGTGCTCTTCTTACGACGCAACATTACTTGATAGCTTTGAACATGGATTGTAAATACTACGAGTGAGTGGTATTACTAACCAGTAAGTAAGTAGTAGACCCTGCTGTACAGTGTACAGTAATACTAGTGTAATACTAGAAGTGTGTACTGTGGAGAGTGTAACATGCAGTGAGTCACACTCTTCATGAGGTAATTACTACTATACAGGGTGGCCCATTATCTCACTATTTAGTGACATGGCAATACACATTACACACTAACAGAGTGCTGCCAGAGTGCTACCAGCAGTTATCTACAGCCTACCTGACCCTAATTTACCTCACTCAGTAGTGACCTAACCAAAATAAGGTCATTCAAAACGTATAGAACAAGGAGACAGGTATATTAGATTATTAGGTACATGTAACAAGGAGAGACAGCTAATATTAGGTAACCTTGCTGGACGCTGGTATTTGCTGTGGTACCACATAACTTATAGTCATACAAACAGATATCTACACAAGTCCGCCTTCCAATCTAACTCCCCCGGCCCTGGTTCCCCCTGGTTACCGTACCCCTGGTTACCCACTACTTACACATGGACCATGGTTACCCACTAGTCACTACTTACCCCTGGTTACCCACTACTTACCCACAACTTACCCCTGGTTACCCACGACTTAGTACTTACCCACTACTTACTCACTACTTCCCCCTGGTTACCCACTTCTTACCCACTACTCCCTCCGGTTACCCACTACTTACCCACTACTTCCCCCGGTTACCCAATACTTAGTACTTACCCACTACTTACTCACTACTTCCCCCCGGTTACCCACTACTTACTCACTACTTCCCCCTGGTTACCCACTCCTTACCCCCGGTTACCCACTACTTACCCACTACTTACCCCCGGTTACCCACTTCTTACCCCCGGTTACCCACTTCTTACCCCCGGTTACCCACTACTTACCCACTACCATGAGGTTGAACTCAAATCCCTTCTTGAGGAACTTCTTCCTCTGCTGCTCTAGGACAGTGTCGAAGCCCACGTAGCCGTCCAGTGTGGTCTGCATCTCCCCCCATCTCGTAGTGGTGGTATGCAGCAAGTCTATTAACAGATCTTTAAACTCTTGTAGGTTCAATACACCTGCTGATATTGTAGAGGTTAGCAAACTAGCTACATTATTATAATATAAACTACATGTATTAATATTATTATAATATAAACTACATGTAATATTATCATAATATAAACTACATGTAATATTATTATAATATAAACTGCATGTAATATTATTATAATATAAACTACATGTAATATTATCATAATATAAACTACATGTAATATTATTATAATATAAACTACATGTAATATTATTATAATATAAACTACATGTATTAATATTATTATAATATAAACTACATGTAATATTATTATGATATAAACTGCATGTAATATCATTATAATATAAACTACATGTATTAATATTATTATAATATAAACTACATGTAATATTATTATGATATAAACTACATGTAATATTATTATAATATAAACTACATGTAATATTATTATAATATAAACTACATGTAATATTATTATTATATAAACTACATGTAATATTACTATAATATAAACTGCATGTAATATTATTATAATATAAACTACATGTAATATTACTATAATATAAACTACATGTAATATTATTATTATATAAACTACATGTAATATTATTATAATATAAACTACATGTAATATTATTATAATATAAACTACATGTAATATTATTATAATATAAACTACATGTAATATTATTATAATATATAAAACTACATGTAATATTATTATAATATAAACTACATGTGATATTATTATAATATAAACTACTTGTAATATTATTATAATATAAACTGCATGTAATATTATTATTTCCCAGATTTGTTAGGACTTAAGTAATTGTTATTAAAACCAATCTATCCTGAAAATGTCACTAATATCATATATCATAATAAAATCATATGTTGTTTGTTGATAAGAGTGTGTGTTTGTTGGCACATAAATAACATACTTGCAGCGCCTACAGCCTCAGCCTTCTGCACAAGAGTCCTGACCTCGCTAACAGTGAGCACGTCCCCCAGTACCTGCTGTACTATGTACTGGACCTGTCCTGCGTCTACCACCCCTCTGTCCTCCACATCTCCTACTTTAAACGCGTTCTCCAGTGCTGTGGGACGGAATTGTTAATTAATTGTTAGTTAATTGTTATTATATTTAATTTTATAAATATTAATCCATTATTTATGTTTGAGAAACCCTTCATTTATCTGTGCTTCTTCATTCTGGTTGCGTGTTCTTAGTACCAATATCTAACAGAGAAGCCTTGACAGGGAGGGAGGGTCAGTAGGAGTAGTACTTAATCAGAATAGTACTCGTATATAACTAACACTTTGCAATTCATTTAAGCGACCTGACTTGTTTTTATTATGATCTAATACTGATTTTACTCTATCTGTCAACAATAATTCTCAAGTGGCCCAAACTACCATCTACCATCTGAGTTACAATACTAATACTACTAGTAATCTAATTATAATATGGAATTTATCAGATGTTTTAATTAATCAGACACAGTCAACCCTAAACATGGGGGCGGGGGTGGGGGCGCGGGGGTGTAGAGTTACCTGTTAGCTGGGATTCTGTAAGGAGCTGCGTCGCTGCCTGAAATATTATGAATTTTAATATGTATAATATATAATATTGGTAAACGACCCAATAGCCTCTATAATATATTCCAATGAACGACCCTTCAATAGCCTATATAAATTCCAATAAACGACCCTTCAATAGCCTATACATATTCCAATAAACGACCCTTCAATAGCCTAGATACATATTCGAATAAACGACCCTTCAATAGCCTATTGAATTGCAAAGACAGAACACTAGTCTGCATTACACTGGAAAAGTTTCTAGTTAGTCTGATTTTTAGTGAAATTAGGCGGAGACTGGTGGGTTTGGAGATATATCAACTAAATATGAGACTTGTAGAATGTAGACGAGTGTGTTTTACACAGTAGGCGACGTTAGAGTGGTCCTTAGTACCGGTGATTGTAATATGAGCCGCTATTTGGGCTTTATTGCAAGTGTCGCCCCCGGAAATACCACAAAGATGATCTGGCGATATCCCAAAAGTAGGAATATGACGTCGTGTCTGGCGTTATACCTGCTGCGTGGGAAATTATTAGGCGTCATGCAAATGCGGAGCAGTAAACTGAACCACTAGCTCAATCACCTTGTCACTGGAATCCTTTGCCTTCAACTTAGCTCTCCTCTGTTTCTTAGGAGGTGCTTCTGCGCTGAGCTTAGTTTCTACCGTAGCCTTAGGAGCCGTTCCCTCGACGGTATCTAGTCCACTCTTTTTAATAGGGTCCTCCTCCAACACTGGGGCTACTGTCTCCGCCATCGGCTGTGCAGTAGTTTCTGTTACTGACCTTTTAGGACGGGGCGGCTTTACTACCACAGGTGGCACAGGTGGCACCACAGGTGGCACAGGGGGGTACCCTCCCTCAGGCATGGCAAACAGCAAAAAGAAGAGCAAGCAGAAGAAGTGTTATTAATATTAATGAGTCTAAAAGAGAAAGAGAGAAAAGAGAGGACTAGACAGATAAAGACTGTAAAGGAAGTTGTTTTGCAGCAGAGCTGTTATAGAAGGTAATTCCAGCGTGTAACATTACCCCTACCCTAGTTAAACATCCCGCATATTATTAGATCTAATTAAAAATGCGCATATCTTATTACAGGGTCACTTATGTGTGAATATGTGAGCGCGTGTTTGCATAAATTAGGGACTGAATTTTTAGGAATTCTATCATCTGGCAAGGTGAATGCTTTCGAGGCAGCAGACAGAAAATATGCAACATTCTACGACTTAAGATATGCAAGCAACAAAATATACTGACGAAACTGAGGACTGAACCTAACGGAGGGCGAATAAAAAACAGTAATATATATATTAGTAGTAGTAGTAGCCAGTAACACGACTTGTTGAAATGTTATCTGAGAAGAAGTGAGCCACAACACCAGCTCACATATAAAACTAAACTACAACTACTACAACTAGTACTACTAACTTTTCTCCGGACAATATATGTACAAGCTAAATAAATATAAACTAATAAACAAGAGGGAGTAAGTAATGTACTGGTGGGAAGTTTCTCACCATGTGTCGGGTATCATACCATAACAATCCTGAACAAACTTGCTAACTACAGATCTGAGAGTAAAGAAATTGGAGAGCAGAGAGAGGCGTAGCCTACTTACACACGTCAAACCTCATTATACGTGACTAGAAAAGAAGCCCGGTTTTTTGGTAGTTGACACGCAGTGTGCGTGCGTTGACAGGGAAAATTGGAGGATAAATTTAGAAAATTATAGTCGCTAGCTAACTAAAACTTAGCGGAGCACATTTAGAGGACTTAGAGAACGAGTGTGAGATATATATATATATATATATAGAGAGAGAAGGCGAGAGAGAGAGAGAGAGAGAGAGAGAGAGAGAGAGAGAGAGAGAGAGTGAGAGAGAGAGAGAGAGAGAGAGAGAGAGAGTGAGAGAGAGAGAGAGAGAGAGAGAGAGAGAGAGAGAGAGAGAGAGAGAGAGAGAGAGAGAGAGAGGGAGAGAGAGAGAGAGAGAGAGAGAGAGAGAGAGAGAGAGAGAGAGAGAGAGAGAGAGAGAGAGGGAGAGAGAGAGCGAGAGAGAGAGAGAGAGAGAGAGAGAGAGAGAGAGAGAGAGAGAGAGAGAGAGAGAGAGGGAGAGAGAGAGAGAGGGAGAGAGAGAGAGAGGGAGAGAGAGAGAGAGAGAGAGAGAGAGAGAGAGAGAGAGAGAGAGAGAGAGAGAGAGAGAGAGAGAGAGAGAGAGAGAGAGGGAGGTCAATACAACTACAACGGTGTGTAACCTACAATACTCCGCGTGCCAGGTTTCAACAATAATTCGATGTGGGAACTTGTCCGTATTCCTATCGTACCAACCAACCAACTGCGTGTAAATACTAAATATGTAATATGACAAATATTTGAGAGATACCCGGCAACTTGTCTACTACATTATTACAGAGCATACTAATTCAGGTAAACGTAACAAACAGCTGTTACACAAATAACAAACGCGTGAAATAAGATGCTACCATCTCTAAACACGTGAAATAAGACGCTACCTTCTTTAAACACGTGAAATAAGACGCTACCTTCTCTAAACACGTGAAATAAGACGCTACCTTCTCAGTTCTCATCTTTCTATTTAAACAAGGCTATCTAGCACTTACACCCGCCTTATAAAAAGCGGCTTCTCAAAGAAGTTAAAACCAGACATGAAATCATACTTACTACTGTTGGGTACTCCAGCTTTTTCGCGCTATTCATTGCTTGTTGCTCCGTTTTCAAACACAAGAAATTGGTTTTAAAACCCGTTTCCATAGCGTCATTGAGTTCCTTATCATGCGATAACATTGTCAGCTCTGCAGACAACCTGTGTGGACTGTTTCTCCTTTTCGGTAAAGTTCCGTTTCTGTGATCCAAATGTTCGTTGCTACTGAGACTACTAATATCAACAGGTTCCATATACTTGACACAGGGAGATTCAGTAGCCCAGTGAGGAGCTGACTTGGGTTTGTGTCTGCCAGGTCCGGGAGGGAGGCCCGGAGGTCTGTCCGGACACGAGGTGGGAGCTGGGTCTATAAAGCTGGTGGCGCTGGTAGACTCGCGGAAGGAGGGAGGTTTAGATTTGGGTTTGCGGCGTAGAGACCACGTGCGGAGGAAGTTAGGGTTGGAACCGCGCAGCGAGTTGTCCACATCATGCTGTGTTGTTATCCGGTCTGAGAACCGCCTCACTATTTTCTGCATTCTCCTTTACCGCTAAATATTCCAAATGAATACCAACTTAAATTTGACGACTGTTGAATAAATAGATTAACGTAAACAGCTCCTATAATTTTATTTATTATTGAAATTGTTTGAACTGAACTAATTTTATTTTAATCAAGTCACAGTCATTACAAATGCGTCAAATCTAGGCAAAACGCCAGAACTGGAAATACGAAGAAAAGCGGAGCGCAAACTATAACCAGAAACTTAGCGCTAACTAGCTACGAATGAGCACGAAGCTAAGAAGGGCTCTTAATGTTAAAACTTATAACGAGTAACGACTCCTGAAATCTGTCTCGCAATTTTACAGGGTCTTGTCATAACCTTGTAAATGGAATAATTGAAGTAAAGATGTTAAAATCTTACCCTTAAAAATTGTGAAGTTTGAGTAATATTTGAAATTGTTGAGGAAGTACGACTGTTGAGAGGATATTGCAGATAAATAATTTAAAGAGTGCGGTAGTTAATTTTGGAAACAAACAACGGTCGTCTACAACCCTACAAGACAGGGAGAATAACAACGCAAACTAGTTATAAAACTAAAAGTCGGATTCGGAAAATAACAACGCAAACTAGTTATGAAACTAAAAGTCGGATTGGGAAGCCTTCAACCCTACAAGACAGGGAAAATAACAACGCAAACTAGTTATGAAACTAAAAGTCGGATTGGGATAGCCGGGACGAAACAGGCTCCACAACTCGAGTTAACTCAAATGAGAGGTGGTAATGACATCACGCTCTAATATTCAGTTTCTAGTTTCAGGTAGGTGGTCCGGGTCCGGAAATTGGCAAGGTTTTAACAAATATATAATAATAAGAGGACAGTATGTGTGTGTAGGAACAAGTGGAACACTTTAAACAAGCTGTAGTGTAGGAAGAAGTAGGGAAGGTTAAACAGCTGGTGGAGCGTGCCCGAGATACACAGGTTAAACAGCTGGAGCGTGCCCGAGATACACCCTTCAGTCTTTAAAACTCAGGGTTAATCATTACGTAACGCGAGGGAGGCCATACAACATAGTCGGATAGAGAGAGAACCCTTAAAAACAAACAATTTAAAATCAGGAGACAAGTTAGGGTGGTAGTAGGGAGGAAGGAGTAGCCCAATAGCACCATATCATTAGAACCAGCTGTGGAGAGATACTACACTACTACAGTATTACTATTAGACAGGCGAGTAACGGGGGTAGCCTAGCAACAGATGGGAAACGGGGGTAACCTAGCAACAGATGGGTAACGGGGGTAACCTAGCAACAGATGGGTAACGGGGGTAACCTAGCAACAGATGGGTAACGGGGGTAACCTAGCAACAGATGGGCAACGGGGGTAACCTAGCAACAGATGGGTGACGGGGGTAACCTAGCGTCTAGCGACAGATTGGTAAGGGGGGTAACCTAGCAACAGATGGGTAACGGGGGTAACCTAACAACAGATGGGTAACGGGGATAGCCTGGCAACAGATGGGTAACGGGGTTAACCTAGCAACATATGGGTAACGGGGGTAGCCTAGCAACAGGCGGGTAACGTGGGTAACCTTGCAAACTTATCTTTCAAAACCGGGAAACGGCATTTTTTGTTGTCGATTTACCGGGAAATTTGTGAGAAATTGAAAAAACTCGGGATCCGCTTGAGAAAATTCGGGATCCACTCGAGCAGCCTGGTGGGAAATTTTGGCTAGGACTACCGGGAAGCAAAATATTTTTGAAAGGTGAGCCAAACACACTCCAAAACACGTCCAAATACCGCGCTCTCTCGCACTCTTATCAGCAGGTCTAATTAAACATACCCGCAATGTTAAACACTGACGGCCGACGGGGACCAGGTATGTAATATCAGGCACTCTATATAGAATATATAACACTATATATTATCCACAGATAAGGTTGGAGTGGGAGGTTGTGTATTATCCCCAGTTCGTGGCTGGAAGATGATGGAAAGGTTAGGAATCTGTAGTCAGTAAGAGGGGGTGAAATTCACGGGTTAGCTTACTGTAATTCAGTCTAGAATTATAAGACAAATTTGTGGAACGCACATGATCAGTATAAGATAATCCAGAGAGAGAGAGAGAGCCTAGATAATGGGTAATTGTGGAGTGAAATGTGAGCTGGCAATGTGGGGTAACAAGGTAACTTGTAGGGAATATACTGTTAAACAAACTCTAATAGTCTAGACAATGTAGTGACATTTGCACTAGAGTGTAAGATATAGAGAGCTTATCTTGATGTCACGCAGGGAGCTAGATTTAACTTTTAACTTATATGTTAAAAGACGGTGAGGAAGCTTTTAATTACACAATAAATGTTCAACAAAACATGCCTCCGTGAAATTGTAGCTCACACGTGTCTTCATTAACTCGGTGTAGTCTGAGCTATGTAATAGTAACATTCTTTTGACAAATTACATTCTAAGATTCTCTAAATTCCTCTCAAGCCTTTAAATATAGAACCGAAAGTTATGAAAATATCCAATATTGGGTACAGAGGTCAGAAAGTCACGCACAAAGAGCTCAATAGAAGTAACTAAGTTCTATTGCACTAATAGCAGCATGTAGACACATTTAAAAATCATTGAATCCGGACAATTAATCAAAGACAGAGCACCATCAGCGATAGGAATAATGAAATTTGTATCAAATCTAAGAATTGAGATGAAAGGTATAATACGTGAGAATGGGTAATTAAATAAGAGCGAGATAAAACACAAGAACCAGGCCATGTTACCATGCCATGGTTACTGTGTTACACAAGAACCATGTTACCATGGTTACTGTCGCCATCCAAGCTCAAACATATGAAGTGTCTAACGGAAACATGCTGTACCCCACTCAAACGGTGAAAGATCTAGGAGTGACAGTTTCCGCTGATTTGTCCTGGACCCCACACGACAACAGGATAGCTGAACGCGCAGGAAAAGTTGCTTCTTGGGTGCTAAGTGCGTTCAAAACGAGAGACAGAGCCACCATGATGACTCTGTACAAGTCTCTCGTTAGAAGTCTCTGGAGTATTGCTGTCCTCTGTGGAATTGCTCTAAGAACAAGGACATCCAACAGCTAGAAGGGATTCAGCGTACGTTTACATCGAAAATAGATGGCACCCAGCACCTTAACTACTGGCAGAGATTAAAGGCCCTAGATCTGATGTCATTGCAAAGAAGAAGAGAACGGTATTTAATCATCAACATGTGGAAAGTTCTGCATTGCAAGTGCCCTAATGATATTGGTATCCAGTTCTCGGTGACTCTCAGACATGGTCAAAAAGCAGTTGTGCCCAGTATAGCTAAGTCCAGCAGTCAACGTAATCAAGCACTACATGACAACTCATTTGCAGTCACTGGACCTCGATTATGGAATGTAATCTCAACACATATGCACACCATCGAGGATCCTATGCAATTCAAAGTAGCTTTAACGAACTTTGTGAAGTCATTTCCGGACGAGCCTCCAGCTCCAGGATACAGCCGTCGGAATGGAAACTCCTTGCTTGATTGGAGTGGTGATAAAACAGTTTCTACACTGTCCGGAGGGTCGACTTTTTCGATGGCCCGATAGAGGATTCTATGAAGCCCTACAAAGTAACAAAGTAAGTGTTACACATGGCCAAGTCAGGGTTATTAGATATTAGGCCCGATTAACCGCGGCTGTTTCCTTTACTGAACCAACTAACGTCTAACACTATCTCGTACAAACAACTCAATCTTTTAAGAATAATTTCAGAATAAAGGAGATGCTTTCATTGAATGGTATCACAGCAACTCTTTTGGTAATCACTGCTGAAGAATGTATCTATCAAACCAGGTGCAACTTTTGCAGCTTCCTTCGATAACTAAATTGAGAATATTTTATATTTTATTCACGATTTAAACAGTATTTGTTAAAACTACAGGCCCGCCTTATTGAATTCTTTCTGGCTCAATAATAGAATCATGATGTCATGTCAAGAGCTGAACAGCAGTTGTCACCCAAAATTAGTGAAACAAACAGATTAAGCAATGCTGGAAAATTTACAATTAACGTTATTATAAACGCTATTGTAGGAGAAGATTTACTATAACGTTATAAAATGATAGCTGGAGAATATTTACTCTTAACGTTAGAAAAGTTATTGCACCTCAAGAGGTTTATCAAGGAACACTTCAAGAAGGTATTTGATAAGGTGTCATCAGCAGCTATGAGATCATAAGTAGCGATACGAGACTGAACTGTGTGAGTGTTGTCACACTACTCCTAGAAAACTTCCCAAAATAAAGATTATAAAATGAAAAGCTCTGAACATGCATGAAAGGGTGGAACTCTACAAATGTACCAGAAGATTCTAGTTGGCACATCTGACATCTCTCACGATTGTAAAGCAACGGCAGAACGGTAAACCAGTAAACACTAACATACCAACGTTAAAGCTAGTATGTAAATAACAAAGGGGGGGGGGGGGGAGGGGGGGGAGAGAAGGAAATAATGAGCAAACCTCGGAGGTTTCTGAGATATTATAATCCTGATGCATTGTGTAAACATGGTGACTTGGTGTGACTGCAAATGTGTCTGTTAGGTGATAATTTAACCAGGAAGCAGATGTTTAGTTCCCAGCATGTTTCAGAAGGAGGGGTACTGAGAGGTGTCACCCCCCCCCCCTCTGAAGTGTCACCCCCCCCCCCCCCTCTGAAGTGTCACCCCACCACCCCCCCCCCCCCCCCCCCCCCCCCCCCTCTGAAGTGTCACCACCCCCCCCCCCCTCTGAAGTGGTCACCCCCCCCCCCTCTGAAGTCTGAAGTGTCACCCCCCCCTCTGAAGTGTCACACCCCCCTCTGAAGTGCCCCCCCCCCCCCCCCCCCCCCCCCCCCCCCCCCCCCCCCCCCCCCCCCCCCTCTGAAGTAGGTATCCTCTCAGAATGGTAAGGATTTAAAGAATGTCTACATATTTTTACTTTGGGTTGGAATTAGATAAGATGGCAGCAGTGGTCGTATTACACGATAACAAGCATTATATACATAGTAGGAGGGAGTGGTAAT